CGCGCAATTGCCGGCGCGAAAACCCCGGTCGTAGCTTCGCGCCACACCATCAGGAGGAGTGGATGCGAGAAGTACCAACCGAACACGACGTGCGGATCGAGGATCCCGTCTGGATCACCATGGCCGACGGCACCCGGCTGGCCGCCCGTATCTGGCTGCCCGAGAGCGCCGAGCGGCAGCCAGTGCCGGCGATTCTGGAGTACCTGCCCTACCGCCGGCGCGACGGCACGGTGATGCGCGACGACATCAACCACCCCTGGTTCGCGGCCAACGGCTACGCCTGCGTGCGCGTCGATGTGCGCGGCAACGGCGATTCCGACGGCTTCATGGACGACGAGTACACCGACGAGGAGCTGGACGACGGCGTCCAGGTCATCGAGTGGCTGAGCCGGCAGCCCTGGTGCAACGGCAACGTCGGCATGATCGGCATCTCCTGGGGCGGCTTCAACGGCCTGCAGATCGCCGCGCTGCGCCCCGAGGCGCTGAAGGCGATCGTCACGATCTGCTCCACCGACGACCGCTACGCCGACGACATCCACTACATGGGCGGCTGCCTGCTGACCGAGAACATGGGCTGGTCGTCGCAGATGCTGGCCTACTCCTCGCGGCCGCCGGACCCGGAGATCGTCGGCGAGCGCTGGCGGGAGATGTGGCGCGCGCGCCTGGAGCACCAGCCGCTGCTGATCGACACCTGGCTGCGCCATCAGCGCCGCGACGCCTACTGGAAGCGCGGCTCGGTCTGCGAGGACTACAGCGCCATCACCGCCGCGGTCTTCGCCGTGGGCGGCTGGGCCGACGCCTACTCCAACACCATCCCGCGGCTGCTCTCCAACCTGAGCTCGCCGGTCAAGGGGCTGATCGGCCCCTGGGTCCACAAGTACCCGCACCAGGCCTACCCGGAGCCGGCCGTCGGCTTCCTGCAGGAGTGCAAGCGCTGGTGGGACCGCTGGCTGAAGGGCGAGGAGAACGGCATCGAGCAGGAGCCGGTGGTCACCTACCACATCATGGAGTCGACCAAGCCGGCCCGGCGCATCGACGTGCGTGACGGCGTCTGGGCGGCCGAGGAGCGCTGGCCCTCGCCGAACGTGCACCTGCAGCGCCTGCCCTTCGGTGCCGACGGCCTGGGCGGAACGCCGGCGGAGGCGCCGCTGAAGATCACCGCCGACCAGGGCGTCGGGCGGGCCGCCCAGCGCTTCTGCCCCGGCATGCGCGACCGCTACGAGCTGGCCGACGACCAGACGGCGGACGACGCCGGCTCGCTGGTGCTCGACGGCCCGGAGCTGGAGGCACCGCTCGATCTGGTCGGGCCGGCCTTCGTCAAGATCAAGGCGACGCCGGACGCCACGGGCGGCTTCGTGGTGGCGCGGCTGAGCGACGTGCGCCCGGACGGCACCGTCGCCTTCATCACCAAGGGCGCGCTCAACCTGACCCACGCGGACCATCACCAGACGGTGACCCCGCTGCGCCCCGGCGAGCCGATCGAGCGCACCGTCCGGCTCAACGACATCGCCTACCGCCTGCTGCCGGGGCACCGGCTGCGGCTGTCGCTGTCGACCGGCTACTGGCCGATGATCTGGCCCTCGGCGGAGGCGCTGTCGCTGGAGCTGGACCCCGCCGGCTGCCAGCTCGCGCTGCCGGTGCGCCAGGGCGAGGGACCGGCACCGCGGCCCTTCGAGGACCCCGAGGGCGCCACCCCGCTGGCCAACGTCGAGCTGCGGCCCGAGGACAGCGAGCGCCACGTCCAGGTCGCCGACGACGGCACCGAGGTGATCACCCAGATCACCGACGGCGGCAAGCACCGCCTGGCCGCCACCGGCATCGAGGCGGGCCGCAAGATCCGCGAGGTCTGGAGCCTCAACCCGACCGATCCCCTGTCGGCCCGCATGGAGGCGGCCTGGACCTACGAGATCGGCCGCGGCGAGTGGCAGACCCGGACCGAGACCTGGACCGAGATGACCTGCGACGCGGAGAACTTCTACCTCAAGGCCAGCCTCAAGGCCTTCGAGGGCGAAACCCTCTTCTACGAGAAGGAGTGGGACCTGTCGGTGCCCCGGGACGGCACCTGATCCCGGGACGGCACCTGATCCCGGGACGGCACCTGATCCCGCGCGTGGCCCGCTGACGGCGGCGGGGCGGCGGCGGGACGGCGGCAGGGCGGCGGCTCTGGCGCGGACGGTTTTCCGGCCGTGTGGACCCACTCTCGTGGGTCCGCCGGTCGGCAAACTGCCGCCCGATCGCACAATCCTGGCGCGCCGCCCCGCCGTCCGTCCGGGCCTTCGGGGCCTGCTTCGGGCGGCCGTCACCCCTGCCAAGATCGCGCTTGAGGGCCACGCCAGCGCCATTAGATTGCGCGCATGACTCCCGACCTTGCCCGCAACCTTCGCCTTCTGTGCAGCTACACGCCGTCGATCTCCCAGGTCTGCCGCGAGCTGGGCATCAACCGCCAGCAGTTCACCAAGTACCTGAACGGCTCCGCCCAGCCCTCGGACCGTAACCTGCGGCGGATCTGCGACTACTTCGGCGTGGCGGTGGACGAGATCATGATGCCGCACGGCCAGTTCGCCGGCATCGTCTCGGTCACCCCCAAGACCCAGACCCTGATCCGCGCCCTGGGCCCGGCCGCCCCGGCGCTGAACGCCATGATCTCGGTCTCCGAGCAGCCGCTCGAACGCTACCGGGGCTACTACCACTACTACTACTTCACCCCCTCGCGGCCGGGCTACATCCGCCGCTCGCTGCTGCGCCTGCACCCGCGCAACGGGGTCTGGTTCTCGCGCCTGACCGAGCGCATCCAGGCCGACGCCAGCCCGATGGGACGCTCGCACTACAGCCATTACCTCGGCATCGCGCTGCTGCTCGGCGACCGCATCATCATCGTCGACTACAACGCCAGCAGCCAGACCTCGCTGTCCCAGACGATCCTCTACCCCACCCAGGGCCGCGAGCTGAAGTTCCTCTCCGGCCTGACCCTGGGCGTGCAGGGGCGCTCGGCCCGTGCGCCCTTCTCCGCGCGCCTGTTTCTGGAGTATCTGGGGACCCAGCCCGACCATCGCGCGCGGCTCGAGGAGACCGGCGTCTTCGCCGCCGACGATCCCGGCCTGCCGCCCTACATCCGCCGGGTGATCTCGGCGCCGGAGCTCGAGCAGACCGAATTTCTGAAGGCTTACGAGCTGCTGCCCTGACGCGGTCTGACGCGGCCCCCGCGTCGAAACGCCAAACCGGCAGCCGAAGCGCGCCATTGTCCAGAGCAAAGCGCTGCAAGATCATCGCGGCCTTCGCAGCAAATGAACCGAACGCGCTCGCCGCGGGGGCGGCCGCCCCCCTGCCGGCGCCGACGACTTTGAGCCAATTCGTCCAAGGAAGGCAGGAAATCATGAGGGAGATCCTTACCCGCTTCACCGCAGCGCAGCTCAGCCGTCGCCAGGTTCTGGCCGGCGCCGGCGCGCTGGCCGCCGCCTCCGCCCTGCCGGTTCGCGCCTGGGCCGACGGCGACACCCTGAACATCCGCACCTACGTGGAAGCCGACAACTTCGACCCGGTCGACGCCTCCGGCTTCGGCGAGGAGATGCTCTACGGCTGCATCTACCGCAAGCTGATCCAGTACGTGCCGGGCGAGGAGTGGGGCTGGCAGCTCGATCTGGCCGAGTCGATCGAGCAGACCTCGCCGACCGAGATCGCCTTCACCCTGAAGCAGGGCCAGATGTGGTCCGACGGTTTCGGCGAGATCACCGCCGAGGACGTGAAGTTCTCCTTCGAGCGGATCATCGACCCGGAGATGAACTCGGCCCTCAAGTCGGACGTCGGCCCGATGCGGGAGGTCGAGGTGACCGGCCCCTACAGCGGCGTAATCAAGCTGGACTCGCCCTTCGCGCCGATCTGGTCGATCGCCCTGCCCTACCTGGCCGGCACCATCGTCTGCAAGAAGGCGATCGGCGCCGGCGGCCGCATCGAGACTGCGGTGCCGCCGACCGTCGCCGGGCCCTACCGCGTCGAGGAGCTGCGCCCCGGCGACCGCTGGGTGCTGGTGCGCAATCCCGAGTTCTCCGGCCCGGCCGCGGACTTCGCGCGCGTCCAGCTCCTCACGGTCGACGACGAGGCGACGGCGGAGATCGGCTTCGAGGCCGGCGACATCGACTACACCGGCGTCAGCCTCGCCTCGATCGAGCGGCTGCGCGCGAGCCCGCCGGCCGCCGGCGAGCTGGCCGAATACCCCTCGCTCTATTACGTCTGGGTCGGCATGAACATGGCCAACCCGAAGCTGCAGGACCTGCGGGTGCGCCAGGCGATCCAGCACGCCATCGACGTGCCCTCGATCATGCAGGCCGCCTACTTCGGCGTCGCCGAGCCCTCCACCGGCATCATCGCGCCGGGCCTGACCGGCCACCGCGAGAAGAGCCTGGTGCCGCCGCAGGCCGACTTCGCCAAGGCCCGCGCCCTGCTCGACGAGGCCGGCGTCGACAGCCTCAACCTGACTCTCGACGTGCTGAACAAGTCGACCTGGACGACCGCCGCCCAGGTGATCCAGGCCACCCTGGCCGAGGTCGGCATCAACCTGTCGATCAACGTCAGCGAGTCCGGCGCCTTCTGGTCGCTGGGCAAGGAGAGCGACGGCGACCGCTGGAAGTCGCTGGAGCTGGTGCTCAACCGCTTCTCCATGACGCCCGACCCCTACTACGCGACCACCTGGTTCACCAGCGAGCAGATCGGCAAGTGGAACTGGGAGCGCTTCGACAATCCCGAGTTCGACCGCCTGCATCAGGAAGCGATGGTCGAGAGCGACCCGGCCGCGCGCGACCGCATGTACAAGCGCATGCAGGATCTGATGGAGGAGTCCGGCGCCTACCGCTTCATCACCCACGAGGCCTCGCCGGTGCTCTACCGCGACAGCGTCGCGCCGGCCCTGCGTCCGGACGGCCAGCCGCTCATCCAGTTCTTCGCCAAGGCGTAAGGGCGCTGCGCCCCGGGCGGTCGCGCACCGCCCGGGGCCGCGCTGCCATGACATGACCCGATATCTCCTGCAACGCCTGACCCTCGGCCTGGCCATCCTGGTGGTCGCCGTCTCGGCCCTCTACGCCTTCATGGTCACGCTGCCGGGCGACCCGACCAGCGTGCTGCTCGGCCCCCGCGCCACTGAAGAGATGCGCCTCCACTTCGCCGAGCGCATGGGCCTGGACAAGCCGCTGCCGGTGCAGATCGTCGACTTCTGGGGCCGCGTGCTCCAGGGCGACCTGGGCGAGGACGTGCTGCGCAACCGCCCGGTGGCCGTGCCGGTGCTGGAGGCCCTGCCCAACACCCTGATCCTGATCTTCGCCTCGATCGCCTGGGCGGCGACCCTGGGGACACTGCTCGGCGCCTTCTCCGCCGCCTACCGCAACAGTCTGCTCGACCGCATCACCGGCGTGCTCTCGGTCGGCTTCCTGGCCGCGCCCTCCTTCGTGGTGGCGCTGTGGAGCCTGCTGCTCTTCGCCGTGGTGCTGAACTGGTTCCCCGCGATCGGCGCCGGCGAGCGCGGCGACCTGCTCAGCCGCCTGCACCACCTGGTGCTGCCGGCCTTCGCGATCGGCCTGGCCTGGGTCGGCTACATCGCGCGGATCGTGCGCGCCTCCATGCTGGAGGTGCTGGGCGAGAACCACATCCGCACGGCGCGCGCCTTCGGCCTGCCGCCGCGCAAGATCATCTACGGCTACGCCCTGCGCGTGGCCATCCTGCCGGCGGTCTCCGTGCTGGGCGTCGGCGTCGGCGGGCTGCTGTCCAGCGCCGTCTTCGCCGAGATCGTCTTCGCGCGCCCCGGCATCGGCCGGCTGATCTTCGAGTCGGTGACCAGCCGCAACTATCCCCTGGTCATGGGCTCGATGCTGGTCGCCATCGCCTTCTTCATCTTCTGCACCCTGGTCGCCGACCTGGTGAACGCCGCCCTCGACCCGCGGCTGCGGACCCGGAGGTAGCCATGAGCACGCTTTCCAACGCGCAAGGCGGCGCCGGCGGGTTCCGCCACAGCGCCCTGGGCCGGCTGCTGTCCGACCCGCTGGCCGTGGCGGCGATCACCATCATCGCCCTGCTGGCGGTCGGGGCGATCTTCGCCGACTGGCTGGCGCCTTACGACTACTCGGCGATGAACGTCATGGCGCGCTTCGCGCCGCCCTCGCTCGAGCATCCGCTGGGCACCGACAACCTGGGCCGCGACACGCTCTCGCGGCTGCTCCACGGCGCGCGCATCGCCCTCTTCGTCGGCCTCAGCGCGGTCGGCCTGGCCGCCGCCATCGGCCTGACGCTGGGCATGATCGCCGGCTTCGGGCCGCGCTGGCTGGACAACGCCATCCTCTTCCTGTTCGACACGCTGCGCGCCTATCCCACCATCATCCTGGCCCTGGCCCTCGGCGCCCTGCTGCCGCGCGGGCTGGGCACGGTGATCTTCGTGGTGGTGCTGACCTCGCTGAGCGAGTACGGCCGCGTGGCGCGGACCCAGACCCAGGCCCTGCGCGGCAAGGAGTTCATCGACGCCGAGCGCGCGATGGGCGCCTCGGCCGGGCGCATCCTGACCAAGCACATCCTGCCCAACGTGCTGGGGCCCTTCTTCATCCTGGCGGCCATCAACCTGCCGGTGGTGATCACCATCGAGGCCGGCATGAGCTTCCTGGGCGTCGGCGTCGAGCCCGGCACGCCGAGCTGGGGCGCCACCTTGAAGAACGGCTTCGACTACATCCGCAACACGCCCTGGCTGATCATCGCCGGCGGCGTGCCGCTGATTCTCGTCACGCTCGGCTTCACCTTCCTGGGCGAGGCCCTGCGCGACGTGCTCGACCCGAAACTGAGGAGAGAGCGATGACGGCAGCTCTGGAAATCCGGGGCCTGTCCGTCGACTACCACACCCGTGCCGGCCGCCTGCAGGCGCTGCGCGACGTGGACCTGATGGTGCCCGCCGGCGAGGTCGTCGGGCTGGTCGGCGAATCGGGCTGCGGCAAGTCCACCCTGATCTCGGCGGTGCTGCGCCTGCTGGCGGAGAACGCCGAGGTGCCGGCCGGCGAGATCCGGCTCGCCGGCGAGGACCTGCTGACCCTCGGGGAGGGGGAGATGCGCCGGCGCCGCGGCCGCGACGTCTCGGTGGTCTTTCAGGACCCGATGACCGGGCTCAACCCGGTGCTGACGATCGGCCGCCAGATGGTCGACATCCAACACCGCGAGCGCCTGTCGCGCGCGCAAAAGCGCAAGCGGGCCGCGGAGATGCTGGAGCGGGTGCACATTCCCGACCCCGGCGCGCGCCTGGATGCCTACCCGCACGAGCTGTCCGGCGGCATGCGTCAGCGCGTGGCCATCGCCATGGCGGTGATGATGCAGCCCAAGCTGCTGATCGCGGACGAGCCGACCACCGCGCTGGACGCCACCCTGGAAGTGCAGATCATCGAGCTGCTGCAGGAGCTGCAGCGCGACATCGGCTGCGCCATCCTGTTCATCTCGCATCACCTGGGGGTGATCGCCGAGCTCTGTCAGCGCATGGTGGTGATGTACGCCGGCGAGGCGGTGGAGGAGGGCCGCGTGCGCGACGTCTTCCACGCGCCGGCGCATCCCTACACCCGCGCCCTGCTGGACTGCGATCCCGGGCGCATCCACGAGCCCGCCGCGGCCCTGCCCTCGATCCCCGGCAGCCTGCCCGACCTGACGGCGCCGCCGCCCGGCTGCATCTTCGCGGCGCGCTGCCCGCGGGCCGAGGCCCTGTGCCGCGAACGCGCGCCGGCGCGCCAGGGTGCCGCCGGCGCCCACTGGGCGCGCTGTCACTTCGCGGAGGTGGCGCAATGAGCGATGCCCTGCTGAAGCTGGAGAACCTGCGGGTTCGCTTCCCCGTCGCCCGGGGGCTGTCCGGCCTCCTGGCGCCGGCCGAGCGCCGCTCCGTCGAGGCCGTGGCCGGCGTCTCGCTGGAAATCCGGGCCGGCGAATCCCTGGCCGTGGTCGGCGAGAGCGGCTCGGGCAAGACCACCCTGGCGCGGGCGATCAACGGCCTGACCGAGATCGCCGACGGCCAGGCCTGGTTCGACGGTGCACCGCTGCACGCCCGGCCCGACTGGCGCCGCCTGCGCCGACGCATGGCGATGATGTTCCAGGACCCGGTCGGCTCGCTCAGCCCGCGCATGACGGTGCGCAGCCTGCTGCTCGAGCCCTTCCAGATCCACGGCGTCGCCCTGACGGACCCGGAGGCGAAGCTGCACCGCCTGCTGGAGGCGGCCGGCCTGTCGGGCGCCTTCCTCGACCGCTACCCGCACCAGCTCTCCGGCGGCCAGGCCCGGCGCGTCGGCGTCGCCCGCGCCCTGGCGCTCGACCCAGCGCTGGTTCTGGCCGACGAGCCGACCGCCGGCCTCGACGTCTCGGTCCAGGGCGAGATCCTGACCCTGCTCAACCGCCTGCGCGGCGAGCTGGGCCTGGCGATGCTGATCATCACCCACAACCTCAACATCGTGCGTCACGTCGCCGACCGGATCGCGGTCATGTACCTGGGCCGGCTGGTCGAGACCGGGCCGGTGCAGGAGGTCTTCGCGCGGCCGGCGCACCCCTATACCAAGGCGCTGCTGGCCGCCAACCCGGAGCCCGACCCCGACGCCCGGCTGCAGCGCATCGCGCTGAGCGGCGAGGTCCCCTCGCTGCTGGCGCGGCCGTCGGGCTGCGAGTTCCATCCGCGCTGCCCCTGGGCCCGCCCGGACTGTGCCGAGCGGGCGCCGGAGCTGGCGGCGCTGGAGGACGGGGCCCGCCACGCGCGCTGCCTCTATCCCTTTCCCTGACGCCGCGGCTCCCCTGACGCGGCGGGGACGCGGGGCGCCTCAGGCCGCGCGCCGCGGCGCCTCCTCGACCCGCTGGCCGGCGTCCTGGCCGGCGCCCTGGCCGGGTCCCGGCTCGGCCAGGAAGTCGGGCCGCCGCCGCTCGGCGGCGTAGGGCGCGGTGAGCGCGTTGGCGGTGGCGTTGTAGACCAGGAAGACGTTGGAGCGCGGCAGCGGGGTGATGTTCGAGTTGGAGCCGTGCATCGTGTTGCACTCGAACAGCACCAGCGAGCCGGGGCCGCCGGTCGGCACGGCCAGGCCGCCGGCGTCGTAGAGGCGCTTCAGGCTGTCGTGATCCGGCACGCCGAAGCGCTGACGGCGCAGGGAGGTCTGGTAGTGGGAGTCCGGCTGGCGGCCGCGGCAGGGCACGAACCACTTGTGCGAGCCGGGGATCAGCATCAGCGGGCCGTTGTGGGGCGTGTTCTCGGTCAGCGCGATGTTGACCGAGATGGCGCGCATGCGCGGCATGCCGTCCTCGGCGTGCCAGGTCTCGAAGTCGCTATGCCAGTCAAACTCCTTGCCGGTGAAGCCGGGCTTGAAGTTGACGCGCGACTGCATGACGTAGACACGCCCGCCGAGGAGCTGCTCCATCATCTCCACCAGCCGCCGGTCCTCGGCCAGCTTGCGGAACAGCGCGTTCTGGCGGTGGACGGCGAAGACCGAGCGCACGGCCTCGGAGTCCGGCTCCGTGATCACCTCGGGGCGGTCGCTGCCGGCCTCGAGCTCGCGCAGGCGCTCCAGCTCGCCGCGAAAGGCCTCGACCTCCTCGGCGTCGAAGAAGCCGTCGAAGGCGAGGAAGCCGTCGCGCTCGAAGCGGGCGACCGCATCGCCGCTCAACGGGCCGCGGGCGACCGCCTCGGGCGTGCCGTGAACCACGGGATCGCGCCGCGGAAACATCGCCATCGGCGCGGACAGGCGTGTGGGGTAGGCATCGGCAAGCATATCCATTTCGGAACCCTCCGTGTTTCAAGAACTCCTTTGCTTCGGAATGCCGGCCCGCATCGGGCGGGCGGGCGCGGTTGCGCCCGGGCAGGGTGCGCGCCCCTGGTCTGTCAAAGACATCAGATCGTCGAGGCGCCGGGCAAGCCCCACGCACGCCAGCGCGTCGGACGGCCGTCACACCCTGCTCGGCATCGTGACGGACTTCCCAACGCCGCCGCCCCCCAGGGGTGTCCAAGAGACCCGACGGTGCCTGCGAGAGCGCGCGGCCGGACAGCGGGGGCCGTCAGCCCGCCCGCAGATGATCCATGACGAAGTCGGCGCGGTCTTCGATCCCCGTCCGCGGAAGCTCGACGATCCGGTAGCCGAGCCGGGCATAGGTTTCGGCCATGACCCGGCCGGTCGCCTCGGCTTCTTCTTCGCTCTGCTTGCGCTCGGCATCGAGGGTGAAGATCGCCGGCCAATAGGGCGCGAGGAAGACGCGTCGGTTATAGGGAAACAGCCTCGCCGCCGCCTCGACATGCGCGGGGGCGGGCAGGCCGCACAGGGTCAGGTAGCCGATGACGTCGGGCAGGCCACGGTCCATCAGGACCGGGCCCGCAAGGGCCGCAGCCTCGTGGTGGGAGCGCAGCTCCCACCCCAGCATCAGCTCGGCGAACGCGGCCCGGTCCGCCCACGGCAGGGCCGAGCCGCCGATCCGGACCTGGTCGCGTATGATCGCCCGCCCCGCCTCGGGCAGACCGCGCAGGCCGCGGCGGGACAGGGCCGCGATCAGACTGCTCTTGCCGGACCCGGGCCCGCCGGTCACGACGAACATGTGGTGGCACATGCGCCTTCCTCGGAGTGGTTGGACAGGGGGTGTAGAGGGGTCGCCGCTGCGGCCTGGCGTCTACCCTCGCCCGCGGCGGCTCGGCTTCGCCGGCTTGCCCGGTTGCCCGCAGCGCCGCGCGGCCCCCGCGCGCAGCGGGCAGACCGCGGCGGGCAGACCGCGGCGGACAGACCGCGGCGGGGCGGAGCGGCGCTCGGACAGGGGGCAGGACGCGGCAAGCACGCCGCTTCGAAGCGGGTTCGACCGCTTCGTCAGAATGCAGCGGCGGTCATGTGCTTGGGAAGTGGCGCGCCCGGGAGGATTCGAACCCCCGACCTCTTCCTCCGGAGGGAAGCGCTCTATCCAGCTGAGCTACGGGCGCCCCGCCGCGCGGGCGAGCCGCGCGTGGAGCCGCATAGGTAAACCGTCCGGGCCGCTCTGTCGAGAGGGAGCTGCCGCGCCGCCCTCGTACCGGGCCCGTCCCGGCCCGCACCGGCCCCATGCCGCCGCCGTCCCGTCGGCGCGCCCTCTGGCCGGCCCGAGGAGGCGGCAAGGTTGCGGGTCCGTGAAACCTGCGGCCTGTGGATGGATTTCCGCGCCACCTCTCTTGCACGACGCGAAAGCCTTTTGGCAGCCTAAATGTGGTGGGTGCCGCGCGACGCTTGCCGAGATTTCGGGTCGGCCACCAGGTCTGGGCGAGTCGTTGCGGCCTGCTACCGTCGGCGGTTCCGTCGGCGGTGGGGCAACTCGGGAGGCTGCTGCGCCATGGACCTCACGGCACACGACGCCAATGTCACCAGCAATCCGCTCGATCTGCTGGAGGAGTTGGTCAACGCCAACGACTGGGCGCACGACCGCTCCAGCGACCAGGAGATGATCGTCCAGGTCCAGGGGCACTGGACCGACTACCATCTCTGCGTCATCTGGCAGCCGGACACCTGTGCCATGTACCTGTCCTGCCAGCTCGACGTGAAGGTGCCGGACACGCGCCGCGCGGCGGTGCTGGAGCTCTTGGCGGCGGCCAACGAGCGGCTCTGGCTGGGCCATTTCGACTTCACCGCGGAGGAGGGGCTGCTGCTGTTCCGCCACACGATTCCGCTGCGCGGCGTCGCCGGCGTTTCGGTGGAGCAGCTCGAGGACATGGTCGACACCGCCGTGGGCGAGTGCGAGCGGCTGTTCCCGGCCCTGCAGCTCGTGATCTGGGGCGGCCAGAAGGTGGAGGAGGCCATGGCCGCGGCCATGATGGACACGGTGGGCGAGGCCTGAGCCCCGCCATCCGCGAGGCCGCGTGCGGCGCCCGCGGTGCTGAACAGAAAATGGAGTTCGTCTTCATGTCTATCGAGGGGCCGCTGCTGCTGCTCGGCTGCGGCAAGATGGGCGGCGCGCTGCTGTCCGGCTGGCTCGACCGGGGGCTGCCCGGCGCGCAGGTCACGGTGATCGATCCCCAGCCCGGCGGCGTGGCCGCCTTCACCGCGCGCGGCGTGCGCCATGTCGCCTCCGCGGCCGAGCTGCCGGACGACCTGGTGCCCAAGGTGGTGCTGCTGGCGGTCAAGCCGCAGATGATGGCCGAAGCGGTGCCACCGCTCGCCCGCCTGGTGCGGCCGGAGACGGTGTTCCTGTCGATCGCCGCCGGCAAGACGGTGGACAGCCTGACCGGCCTGCTGGCGCCGGACGGCGGCCCGGTGGCGCTGGTGCGCGCCATGCCCAACACCCCGGCCGCGGTGGGGCGCGGCATGTCGGTGCTCTACGCCACGCCGGAGGTGGGCGACGCCCAGCGCGCCCTCTGCGCCGAGCTGATGGCGGCGGTGGGCGAGACGGCCTGGATCGACACGGAGGCCGAGATGGACGCGGTCACTGCCCTGTCCGGCGGCGGCCCGGCCTACGTCTTCCTGCT